CCAGTACCACCTTCAATAACCGAGGCTTGCCTATGTACATCCTCCTCTTTCTCCAGCGCAGATAGATTGAATGCGAGTGCTGCATCAGTGTCCGGTTGGGCCTCGTGTTCACTCCGGGGTCCCCAAACTCCTCAAACACAAAGTTGGAGCCGAAATTTCGCGGAGCGCGCTGATTGGACGTCGGCGAAAATAACGCGAAGTCATCGTCGTGATAGGCCAATTGGCCCACTGAACACGAAGTCGTCTGTTAGACGTCTAAAGACGTCTTGTCAAGACAAGACGTCTTGACAAGACAAGACGTCTTGTCAAGCAAGAGGTCTTGTATATGTCTTGGTGAGACGTGATAGCCTAGGACGCCTTGAGTTGTCTTGTCCATTGTTGTTCCTAATTTACATAAATGACGTGCCGGATCTTCTCAATTCCACTATCAGATTATATGCGGACGACTGCGTGATTTATAAAAAAATAATGAATGTAACCGACTGTACCCTTTTGCAAAATGACTTGTCACAAATCCAAGCGTGGTGTCCAGAATGGCAAATGGAGATCAATGTTGACAAAACAAAATTTTTTAACTTCACTACAAAAAAAGAACATTACTCAGATTGATTATTCGCTTTCTACCATACCAATTGAAGCCGTAACATCCTACAAGTATCTTTGCATCAACTTTAACCATAACTTATCATGGGAGCCTCAAACTACCTATCTGCGAAAGCAAAGAGAAGCTTGGGATTTTTAAAGCGCCATCTCTATAAGGCCACGCAAGAAACAAAACTCATCGCATATAATTATCTCATCCGACCTCAACTCGAGTATGCATTCATTGTCTGGAACCCCCATATCAGTTGTGTCTAGAAGAAAAATTGTAAGCTGTTCAAAACCGGGCTCCACGTTTCAATCTCCACAATTATCAGCCTACACGTGTTACCGCAATGAAAGCAAAATTAAACCTCCCTCTTTTAAAACACAGGAGAAAAGTATCGCGTCTTACCCACCTGCACAAACTATATTACAATTTTCCTGTAAAAAAAAGATGAATACTGCCCACCTGCCGTCCACATGTCCCCCCGCACTGACCATCCATTCAAAATTCAACTGTCTACGCCTAGGACTAACTTATTCAAATTTTCTCCCTTGCAATTTGCCATTACCGATTGGAACAACCTCCCGGAACCTATTGTGAGCATCGCAGAATGCAATAACTTCAGATGTGCAATTTCCTCTCTCGTCACCACCTAGCGTCCTGTTTGTACGCGTTCACAAACATTCTAGCCTTTTTTCCTGTTTGTGTTATTTTGAGTGTTTAAATATGCCCCCCCCCCCCCCCCCCCTTATGTAAAGCCTCCTGTGGGCATTTAAGGGTTCAGTAAATGAAATGAAATGAAATGTAGCCGCCCTGTGGACTCCGTAACGCTCCCTCTGTTTTGGGCTACACACTATAGGAAGTCTTGCAAGGCGTCTCCTAGACATCTCAGGGGCAGATCCAAGGGAGGGGCGACCGGGGCGGGCGCCCCCCCCCCCCCCCCCCCCAAACAAAGTCAATCCCCCTTTCCCCCTTCTCGGAAGGCAATTTGACATGTGTGGACCCCCGGTGCAGAAGAAAGAATGGGAGAATAGTATCCTTGCAAAGTTTCCCGCCCCCCCCCCCCCCCCAAAAAAAAAAAAAAAAAAAAAAAGAAAACGCAGTTTTGGATTTGCCTTTGAGACATCTTAGAGAAGATATACAAGACGTCCAAGACGTGAGTCGTCTCTTTGGGATGTCTTTTAGACGTCTACGTCAAGATATCCTGTGTAGCCCAAGACGTCTATAGCAATTAGTCGAGCCGTTTCAAGCCGGCTACGAGACGTCTTGTGCTCAGTGGGTGGTGCGCTCCGTCAACTTCGGCCCCAACTTTGTGTTTGATGAGTTTAGAAGCCCAGGTGTAAAAGGCAGGGTGCAGAATAACGATCAAGGCTATTGAAATTGTGATTTAAATCACACCGGTTTCGCTATGGTGATTTAAAATGCAATATGATGCTTCCTATGGGTTTTTCAGTGTGATCGCTCACCAACTCGCCCGCGCAATCACCCTTAATTTTGTGTTTATGTGAATTTTTAATGTAAAACTAAAAAGAAAAAAAAAATATGAAGACATATCAAGCTGAAGAGTAGCAATAAGCGACGCTCTTGTGAGCAGATCAGAGCGTTGAAGTTTCCTTTCACCTTCCACTGCGTGTGCGAGTTGCGTAATGCCCTATTGCAAGCATATGAGAACGCGAATGGAGAAGTAAACGCAGCTTTTCTGGTTAACTGAAAAAATGAAGATGCTTTTCATATGGTTAAACATATCAAATAGCGCAAAATAAGACAAGGACAAGAAGTATACAGGACAAGCGCTATATCCTGTATAGCGCTTGTCCTGTATACTTCTTGTCCTTGTCTTTTTTGCGCTATTTTATATGTTTGACTAAGATGAACCAGCTAGCCCAACAACGTAGCCTACTAAACCTTTTATATGGTATGTGTGGCAGGGTTCGCATCAATAAGAATTTGTGAATTCAACTGTTAGATTTACCGCATTCTTCCGTGTGTTTTCAGCGATCGAGCGGAATGATCAATCAGTCGGCAGCGTTAAAAATAATCTATTGGTAAATAATCGCTATTTTTTAGCTACAGTGATTTCAATAAAATTAACCTAACTAAAAAAAAAAAATTATTCTATTTTTTTTTCTTTTTTTTTTTTTTATAGGAGGTTTTGCGTCGGCTTTGGCGCCATTTTAGTGTGATGACGTTTCACAAAAGTAGAAAAGGCTGTCCACATCTTTGATTATTCTACTCCGAGCGGTGGGGTGGGGCCTTATTCGAGCAGTGTCGACAGAGAGAGAGTGATTTCAACACGAGAGAGAAAGAGGGAGAGGCAAAGAGAGAGAAAGAGAAACAGTGAAGAAAGGCAGAGAGCACTTTGCGTTTTGAAATATATCCAATCATGATGCGCCTTTTTTTGCTTCTTTTTTCATTTTTTTGTTGCATTGTCTTGTATAGCGTTTTAACTTGCAACTAAAATCGTTTTAAATCGTTATTTTGGTGAGATGTCAGATTCGTATGAGATGTTACCAAGCTGCAAGCGCCGAAATAGAAAGCAACATTGGGAGCATGCTAAGTGAGCGTAGAAAATTGCGCCCCGGTTGTGTAGTTTTGTTGTGTAAAGGTCGTTTCAGACATCTGCATTTCAGTGTGACTGGCTGCGTCACAACGGCTTGTGACTCATTACGACGGGAGTAGGGTTCCTCTATAGGCCTATGCAGGAACTCTAGACGAGAGTAGAGTTCCTGTATAGGCTCCCTACGGGAGCCAGAGTTGCGCATTTGTTTTCCCCGCGCCGCCACGCCGCTATTCGCCGAGATCCGATCACGTGAGGAGCAAAGCATCCCTTGGCGTGCAAGAAAGCCACCTTTACGGTCGCTCCGCCGACGTTTCTCTCGCCCCGGCGTATGTTTCCCTGCTTTCCGCCTCCTTTTCCTCCTCTCCTGTTTTCCATGCGCGGCGGCGCGCGCGTCGCCGCTATTCGCCAAATTTAGTCACGTGAGGAGCAAAGCAACCAGCTCGTGCGGGAAAGCCGGCGCTACGGCCACGCGCCGAGGCTGAATGCGCAACTCTGCTACCGTAGGTAGCATATACAGGAACTCTAGACGAGAGGACAGAGCTGCGCCACCTATCGGGTAGTACTGGGACGCCATCGATCTGCTTATATTTCCTCACTTCCTACGCATCGGTCTTTTACCCTAAGCTTGAAATTATTCTGACGATGTTATGAGCGACCATTTGTCATAGATAGCGCGTCGATTTGAACTCATCAATACTGCAGAACCTTCAGCCTGGTTGTACGCAGATGGAAGTGTTCTGGGGTTACCGATAGATACCTCCAATGTATTCTTTTGTTGTAAACAGTCACGGACGGTAGCAATGCACTTAGTGAGCGAGCGCACTATCGGCGCCTGCCCTATTTTAGTTGACGGTAATTATGGGCTGTAAAACCGTTTCTGAGGCTCACGAAGCCGCACCAATTTCAATCGAAAGCGCGAGTGCACACGAAAATAAAACAAAAAGGACTACTACGTACCGCAAGGCAAACTGCGCGCAACAGCCTTTAATAGAGAGTTTTAGTAGATCGTTCCCATGATAACGATACCCGATACTCCGCCACCGCCTCCCTTGCGCATGCATAGTATCGTTATCGGAGGTATCGGAACAATCTACTAAAACTCTCTATTGACCGACAGAAAAGATCACAGTCACAATCAGGTAGGAGCCATAGTTGATGCATGTAGTTACCGAACTCTTTCTTGCAGGAGACTAAGAAACCGGTATTTACATAGTATTTCCAACAACAAAATAATAATAAAAAGAAAGTGAGCTAGCACTCTGCTGCTTTTTCGGGGGGGGGGGGGGGGGGGGGGGGGGGGGGGGGGGGGCTCGAACTTTTAATGTAATGAATACAAAACCAAAAGCACTTTGGGCGAGCTGCAATTAATTTGAAGGAATAAATTTAATTTTAAGGAATAAAGACCACGGAGGTCGAAGATACATATACTCTATTTAGAAGGGAGTTGTATGACTTCGTCCTCGGTGTTTCTTTTTCAAAACCTTTACGTGTTCTTTTTTTCGTGTTCTTTTTTTCTCACTTTTTTCAGGCACGCACGCATGCATCACTTGTTCCGAACGCTGCACGTACTTGAGTTTGGTCGGTGTCGCTCAAGTGAGACTAGGGCTTTAGCGCGCGTCGCGCGTTTGTCTTCGGTCAAGCGTTAATGCTTCGGATATAAGACGCACATATTGTTGGGTCTGCACTTCGGACCGCTCGTCGACACTTTGTCGACCGTCTCAAATGAATCGCGTGGGCACACCCGTTTAACGTGGGCCGCCGGGCGGCTGCTGTGCAGCGCGATACTAGGTCTGTGCATTGGGGTCATTATGATACAAGACGCAGTTAAAGCGATAAGTGGGCGTGCGGTGATATATAGCTCAATGTCAACCCCACGCTTTCGGCGCACACTGCAAAACGTTAACTCAGTGAAAGCGACTTGGCAGGAAATGCTTACGTCTAAATCTATCGAAACGGTGTTGTAATTCAGTTCAGATTCTACGCTTATTTTGTGTAACACGAGGTAACCAGGTCTGGTTTCGGTTTCGATTCTCTTTGGCAGCCCTCCTGCCCCCTGGTAGGAAACGTGCGGGTTAGAAGAAAGCAAAACCAAAAGCAAAACGTATTTCGGAGGTCGCCAGTTTTTAAAGTTCGCGTTGTCGGAGGCCGTGAAAGTTTATGTGCCAAGTTCTGAGGTAAGTGGACCCATTTTCCTCGCTCATAAGCGGTCTCGGAAGGTAAGCACTGCACTTGTTGACATTTCGCGCTAATCTGCAAAGGATTAACGTGGTTTGTCGCGTTTTGCCGTTGTTTCTGCGTTCTTTTTTTCTATCCGTGTGCTATCAGCAGACCGTTCGGGTATTTAATTGTCACAACCGAGCATATCACTCTCTGTAGACACCGTTTGATACTAAGTAACCAACCGGAACAAACAGTTTTAGTATGATCGTTCGTCTCTTTCGCTGGGTCTCGAGAAGCGCCAAAGTTGAGTGCTTTCACTGCCGTGGTATCAAGTCGGAGGCACTTTGACAGTCTTTGTACTTAAGCGATCCTTGCAGAAACTTTTGTCACGTACGGCAACAACTCCTCAGTTTTCTCGAAATACCTAAGAAAAGGTAACTGATTCTAATCACAGAATGTGTAATTGTGTGGTTGCAGGATTGGGTCTTCGACCTTATGTTAAAGCATGACAAGTACTCGTCGCTAGCCACGCTTGAACTAATTTAACGCGATTTTATGAAGAGCAAGCGAAGGAAAACCCACTATGGTTGCGCGATCATCTTCTGACCCCCTGAGACGTGAGGTTTTCAAATTCACTCCATGTAAACCAGAGCATCTAAAGCAGGTCGACTGAAGCACGGAGTGGCCTTGAGCGACACACGTGTAAGGATTCGTCTGTCGCACTGACACATAAGCGAAATGTCGTTGGCATTTGGAGCGGTCCACGAGATGATGATTAGTCAGCTCATAGATTGGCTTGTGCTAACCAACATTTACAATAACAACAAAAAGTCAAGCTTGTTTATTTGTATTTTTTTTTTTTTTTCGTGAAGTCGTTTTTTGCAGTTACTGTATTTGTTCACAGCACATCCAGGGAATGAGAGGCTGTGAAAACAGGCAAACTTTATGGTGTGGAAGGCGTGTTGTAACGTGGAAGCGCACAGTTACTGTTGTGTGTTGGCAACCGAGGATATCCAGGGATGCCGGTGAACTGGTGCACGCGCGCATTCACGAGACGTTCTACTGCTCTGGCCCCAACCCGGCCGGTTGTGCCCGCTGTATGCTGTAATGTATATATTATGTAAAGATTAAATACACAACATTGGCGACGAGGATGGGACGCTCTTAGCAGCCGTGGACTCGAGTATGGCCACCAGTGAATTCCCCCTATAGTTTGTTTCACTTTATGTGGGAGCGAAACCAAAGCTAGAGGCACGGGCATGTTGGCCCAAATAATGCTTATGCCACACGAGCATGCTTGTTTGGCAGGTGCGTTGAAACCCCGAAGCTTGCTTTTGCAGCTTTTGCTGCAACCAACCAACACGTTTGAAGTAAAACATAGTATAAACTTTCCACATTCAAAGCCAACTTAGCTTTAAGTTGTCATGTTGTGCATGGGCTTGTGCTGGAACACTTTTCCTGTAGATAAGGGAGCTCTCGCAACTTCTAGCATGGCCCATTCACAAGTCACAACCTAAGTATCTTAGCTTAGTGGATGGTGTAAGATATTCATTAGGTCAGGACAGACATCACGGCAAACGCTGCGAGGCGATCAACCAGAAAGTCCTGTTGGCGCATGCCCGAGTAGCCTAGCTATGCCGACGGCATCATCACTAGCCTATCGGCGTAACCAAAAAAAAGAAAAGTCTCATTACGATGGCGTTTGGACGTGTACTCTTTACGCTCTGTGCATTTGCTCTGATCTCAACGGAGGACGCTAGTTTGAACATTGCATCAGAGATTTCTCCGCTTCAACGCAATAATGAAACCTGTTCTTGTTGCCGTTGGAGTACAAAACTAGGGTCAATGACGAAGCTGTGTCTCAGCAACACGTGTAGCGCAAGTACCATGTTCTACATGACTCGGCACTTCCAGAGAATGACTTTAAAAGCAATCATGTGTCCCATAGTCAAACACGGACAACCGGGCCCGTGACAGTCCACCACTAGCCGTTTATCCAAGATGGTGGCTCTACTTGCAACCAACACGAAGAGAGGATATTAACTGGCTCTGCAACACACTCATGTTCGCACCTTTTGTCTTACACCATGGCTAAGTGGAAGCGAGCTTTTGGTTCATCTGTGTGTGCACTCACTTCCCTTTGAGCCCATCGCTGTTATTCTCCGCATTGCTTCGTCATTCCTCCTTTGTTTGTGCCTCCGCGCGTGGCTTTGCAGGGCCGATGTGCGTGCGGGTGCGAGATGAACGTCGGGGCGGCCTTGCTGCCAGGATGCGAGGCTATCCTTTGCTTCATCAACATCATCCTCCAGCTGGTGTCCCTGCCCCCTTCGCACTGGGGCACCTTTCAGGGACTCACGGAGTTTGGTGAGCACTCGCACAGACCTCCGAGCTCACTCATCGTTGGGACGCTACACTCTAAGAAAAATTTTCTTGCAAGGTTCTTCGACGGCCCCAAGAACTCTTTCAGCTCGTGAAGAATGGTTTCGCCTAAAGCACTATTGCTTCCTGTCGCACTAGGAAGGAGACTGAGCGATGAAGAACTCTTCGGCATCAAAAAAGCAACTGAAAAGAAACCCTTATAGGTTTTACAGCGAAGCTGTTTATGGCTAGGGTCCCGTGGATTTTTCGTGTGCGGCAACAGAAGCGGCATCACGGCTTCTTTACGTCGATTTCCCCGCTAAATTTAGCGGGGAAATTTTTTCGCTGAATTTGGCGGTGAAATTGGCGTCAAGTGACCTCAACACCAATGCAGTTTCCCCACTAAATTTAGCGGGAAAATTGATGTCACGTCTGTGTCGCGTGCTAAACAGCTTCACTGGTCACAGAGTGGAATGACTCATCATTTTTTTTACAAAGAATCCTTTGTGGAGGTGCTTATAATAACTTTTTAGGGTGCCAAATATGGACAAGCCGAAGAACCCCCAGAAATTCTTTTACAACCAGATTTTGTTTTAGAGATTGGACGGAACCTTTGTTTGTTTGTTTGTGATGCCCACCAACAGCTACATGCCTTCCCGGTTCTACATTGCAACACAAACAAAGGTATGTCAACGTAAAGCACTCTAACATCATATACCATATTTTCTGGTTTATAAGCTTAGTACAACCAAAATGAGATATAAAAAACTAATTTTTCCAGTGGTGGGACGGCAGCTTGTTACCATTAAAGTCTAACGCACTTTGTTATTGCTTTTTGTAAATTTGCCGGCCTGCTTTCCCTCATTGCCATTGTCTGTCATCTTTTGTTACTAGTCTATTGTCTAAATTACTAGACTTTTAGCAAAAGTGAAACCTCTAAGTGCAACTGCACGCATGTCCAAAACAATGGTGACGGCCTCGTGACTTCCCAATATCTTTCCCCTCCGGGGGCCCCTCCTCCCCCCACGACCCCCGACAACTCCAGGGTCGGTGCTAGAGCGTGGACACTTCGGCCTGTGGTGGGTGTGTGCGGAGCGGGTGCCATTCTTCTTCGAGGATTGTGACTCCCCATCCAGCCGCCTGTCCCTCACAGGCCTGAGCACAGCGGCCGGCGTCCTGGCTGTGTTCCACCTGCTGGCGCTTCTGGGCTTCCTGCCCCTGGCCTTGATCCGGGTGGTGCAGTTGGCACGCAATCTCGACGAAGGATGCTTCGACGCGCGCTTCATGTGCCTCACCAAGATCACCGTGGCGGTCGTCGCGCGTGAGTTTTAAAATGGTGTCATGGCCGTCTGTTACTTTAATTTTCCTCATGTGGGGGTTTAGACCAGGGGTCCGACTTTGGTCATCGCAAGAGTGAGATGTTTTCTGCCTCTCGCGGAGTGAGTGCAGATGACATTCATAGATGGTTCGTCTGCTAACGGGAGCGAAGAATGCGGTTTGTATGCTACGAAGCATTATTCGCAGACGAAAATGAAACAAGGAAACGTCATAAGTCGTCTGCTAACAGACCGAAAAAAAAGTTGACAATTTGCTACGAACCGAGTGCCGTGGAGAAATGAGATCGGACGGACTGAAATTCTGATCGTCTACTCTTTCACGTCAGAAGCCGTTGACAACCCGCTTTTCTTTTGCAAATTTAAAGTTGTTCCGCTGCCGTACATGAGGTGACATTGACCGGAAGATGACAGAGTACTGAAGAGAATCACATCAGAGGCCGCGAGGCCTCTCTCGATATTCGTATGTTGGTGAGACATTCTCACCAAGATATTGCCCAATTGTGAACTTGCAGACGGGTCAAAAATGTCTTCTGTATTGATTACGCGAAAGCTATGGCATCACGTCAAATCAGCAGCCGAGAACGCTGTCGCTGACCAAAAGCCAAACTGCAGCTCGCGAGACGTGTGCAGTTTCTTGCGTGTCGAAATTAAATTGAAATATGCTTCACTCTGGGATCCCGGTCACACCACGCTGTTGTCTAACCTTGAGGCTGTCCAAAGTCACACTGCATGTTCTATTTCTTCCAACCATGTCATTCTACCGCCAGTGTCTCGTCCATGAAAGCTAACCTACCACTTCCTCTTTTGTCGTGTTTCAAAATATCTAACTGATATAATTGATGTCTTCTTCATAAAATGTGTCGATCTAAACCTGCTCTAAAAGATAAGCTCCTTCTTTCTGCTCCATATATTTCCCCTTGCATTGAACATCAAATGAAAGTCTGAATTCATCCCTGTTGTCGTAGGTGACTACAAAGGGGGGAGGGGAGGGGAGGGGAGAGGAGGGGAGGGGAGAGGAGAGGAGGGGAAGGGAGAGGGGGAAAGGGAGGGAGGGAGGGACATGTTTGTTGGGCTTCAGCAACCCCCCTCCTTGAATACAAAGAAAGATGAGGCCTCCATCCCTTGTTTAACCTCGAGTTCTAAGTATATTGACGTAATAGACTCCACTTTTGCTAAAATTTAGGTGTAGAAGAAGGTAACTTTTTTTTTTCTTTCACTAACAATACTTATTTTATTGCTTTCTCGTGAAAAAAGGAGCTGTCATTCTGTCTCTCCCCTTGTTTTTCCTTGCTTGATGGTGAGTCGTGTTCAGACTCCCTGACCTTACCACATTTCCACGTCTGTCTCACGCGTGCAGTGGTGCTTGCGGTGGTGGTGGTGGTCCTCGGCAGCATGGGCACGGAGCAGCCGAGATTCTACCAGGTGCAGAGAGACTGGGCTTTCTGGATTCAGGTGTGGTGCAGGTTATCTTCCTTTAACAAAGAACGTGCTTAAGGACTGCTTCTCGTGCAACACTCGAGTGTTAACGAAAAACCGTTACACACAGGTCAGAGCAACATAAAGGATACATAGCCAATCGCAGGCGGTGCAGAAGCATACAAAGTATATAGAAGGCATACTTAGTCATAATTAACCATACTTATTGTTAAGCATAATTAAGGGCAAAAGACGAGATTTACAGAGTGGTGCGGCGGGAATCGAACACTGGACCGTCACATCCGCAGCCTCACGCCTCTGTTTGGCGCCATGAGGGTGAGGCAAAGGGGGCGCAAGCAGCTGGACTAAGTGTGATTGGCAGGAGCCTGCAGTAGCAGTCGACCGTCGGGACGCCCAGCCGGCTCCTAATTGACGGAGCGTAGCCTTCCACGTGATCTCACGACGTCACAGGGTAAATCCTGACATACTAACGGATAGCTCAGCAGATGTAGTACGACGTCACAATTTCTCAGGGCAGACAGTAGATGGCATGGCAGGCACGATAAACCTGCCCTCGCAATAAGACATCGCCCCACGTAGCTGACATTACCGCCCGCAGCCTGAGACACGTTCCGCACCAAGCAAAGCGTTCGAAACCACCCGAAGCTCCTCGTAACCAAGCATGACAAAGTGTAAGGCGTGCGCAACAGATTCTATGCTGCCCGATTTCATCAGAATGATCGAAACAAGTTTAATTTTTATATCAACATCAGGGTTCATCTGCTTCAAAGCGCTTTCTAAAGGGATTCATTTTGGGCTCTTCTCAACAGTGCACGTAATTTGCAGAAAAGAATTCGAGGGCTGCCTGATTAGAAAAGAATAAAGATATGGCAAAACAGTTGTATTAACTAGTGACTACCGTAGAATGCCATGCATCTGCGCATTCAACACTAAGCACCCATACCCAAATTTTTAAGATCCGAGAAAATATGCATAGTACATTTATATGTAAAACTGATGACCGGACAAGCGCCCATCCCCCATTTTTTCACGATTATCTCAATTTTGAGTGGGCGCTCGTCCAGTATTTTACGGGATGCATTTGTGCCATTACTCCGGGACATTACAGATGCTGTTCTAGACACGATGTGCTGCAGGGATGTCTCAATAATCTGGTCAGCCCCGTTCCCTCCAAAAAGCGTCCACGGCGTGAGTTGCCCTTGCTAACGAGACAAAATACACATAGTATTTACCCCGTTCGTTCCCCAAAATGTTGCCTATATAGAGAGGTAGCCATATTAACGGGGTCCATATTAATGAGACCTGACAGTACCGTGTTTGCTGACACATCAGTCGACCTACTTTTGAAAGAGTAGAAGCACACTAGTCTTGGGTGAAACTAGTTGCTAGTAACATTTACCGGTAACTAGCTATGTTTTAGTAACTTGTAAGTGTAACCCGTTACTGCTTAGTGAAAATATTGTGTAGCTGTAACAGGGTTACTATTTTTCGAAAATAACTGTGAAGAGTAGCATCGTTACAGTAACTCCTCGTAGGGTACCCTCAAATTGTTCAAATAATCAAGCAGTCCGAAAAAAACGACTTCAGCCTCAATCCCGAATTTCTGCACCCCTTCCCTTCGTACTGGCCACATGCTTGATGTCAATATTAAATTCTCATACAACTTCAGCTGTATGTGGGTCACTTTTCACGTGTTTGTTGATATGGTTGATCACGGTGCCGTGCTTTGTTGGCACCTTCATTGGTGCACACAGCAAATATGAAGTTGGTGCTACTTGGCACTGTCTTTAGACAATGTTTAGCCCACCCAGCTTACTTCAATACCATTGGACAAAAAACTCAACTCAAACACTCACTCAAACAGCTTAAGAATGGCAGACTGCTGAACTTCTTGGGGTCACACTCGAAAAGCGCAACATAAGAAGAACAAACGGCGGCCATGTTGGCTATAGCGGAACCAGAAAGCCCGACTGTAACCTCAATTCAGCTTCTTTACTGCACAATATGTGGTATCGAGGCTACAAGTCAAAACCAGAACAACCGAAAATGCTGGTGATTAAGCTCACTGCATTATCGTGGTGGCTGTTTCATGGCTGTAAACGGAGAAAATTACACAAATTGTGTCCGAAATATCGAGCAACAAGCTTTATTGTGTCCAAAATTTCGGTCTACGTTCTACATTAACTCTATGGGGTAAGTGACAGTTCAGCGAAAGTGTCCGAATAATTGGACATGTCCAAAACAGTGGTGTCCAAAAATCAGTCAGCGACTGTATGTGCAAAAATATTGCAGAAAACAACAACCAAATCATCTCGCAACTCGTAAGCGAGTCCCAAGTCCTGATACTGAAGGGCACATCAAAAACTGCCGCAGAAACCGTCCGAAGCAGGAGAGAAAAAAGATTAAAATTAAAAGGAAATAAATTTTGGGTGACCCTGCTCAGCCAAGCTGTTCCTATTAACTGGGAGGATGGGGAGGTTTTTGTCCATACCTGCTGTGTACTGTACATCGGCCACAGCGCACGCAGCTGTAACAAAGCACGGCATCTCTATAGCGTTTCTCTTTTCTTCGTCCGGCGGAGGGAGCGAGTACTTTTTGTGGAGGACAGTTTTTGGTGATGGTCGCCCCAAACGCCCACAGGCTTGCAGCACAGCCGATTTTCCAAAGCTCGTCATTTTGCCGCCAAGCATACGTTTCCTTCCCCTCTAATTTGAATCCTCCAACCCCCAGACGCATTCTTGCGGGGTCGCGACCTTAGGCCTATTTGCTCTCCCTTCCCTTTTTTTTCCAACCAAATTACTGGCCTTGCCTCCCATCACCCATTTGTTGTCCCCTATTGCTCTGCTTCTCGAGTCCCGTCACTTGAGAAAGAGTATTCGCTGAAAGCTTGGCATCAGTTGATTTATAGATATTCACGTCGTGGGATTTCTGGGTGGCCTCTTCTAGTTGGGGTGGTGAGATGGAGGGGCTCAAACGTGTCCGATCTGGTGAGGAATATCGTATAATCGCGTGTAAGGGCCGCACCCCCGTAATTAGGGCAAAATATTTTAAAAGTAAGTTAGAGAAATTATTCGTGTAAGCGCCGCACCCCCTTGTTTTTGAGGCACGCCGACTGTAATGTATGAAAGTTTATGAATATATATCACTAGGTGGCGCTAGCCACCACCCGAGCACGTAGCGGCACGTCTCCGCATCCCCAATATTTGCTCTCCACTCATCCGTATCACCGTATGGCACAATGGCTGCCAACCTCGATCGTGGTCGGCCGCACCGTCGGGATGCGTTTGTGTTGCGGCCGGAAGACAATGAGAAAAGATAAAGGATATGTCAGCTTCCATGGCAAGCGCGAGGAATGAAGATTCAGCGGGCTCGGCTCGCGCGTGCACTCAGGTTTCTGAACGCCACTGTACACTCTGGGGAGGTTTTTTTTTGTTCTTCGATTCGCTTCAAAGTATCGTGATTTGTCTGCCTTTTCGCGCAATCAGAGCTATGGGCAAGTACCACTTCAACAGTCATACAGGATTCAAGTCGAAAGTTGCCACGTATTGCGCAGTATGTAAACTAATTAAATCCAACTGATGATTCAGCCTGGATTCCGGAGTGAAGGCGTTTTTGACCAGTGCAGCCGAGCGCGCTCATGTACGTTCATTTCAAAATGTGGATACAGATTTTTTATTTTTTTTTTTATCCAATCTTGCAAATTTGCCCTCAAATCGGGAAAAAATAGTGCGGCCCTTACACGAGTTTATACGGTAGTCTGAGAAAAGATTGCAACAGCCGTTAGGAATTCTACACGCAGTGGTTGTTCGTGCCTCGATCAGTGCTGCTCTTGCACTGCTGCCGTGTTTAGCGGATTCGACGGTGGAATGTTGCCGCTACATTTGTCCTCTAGTTTTCAAGAGAAGCTTTGTGTTTCAAGAAAGATTGTGCGCACACAGTAGAGAACAATTCGACTGACGAGTGGATTGGAGTGGCATAAGGAAACATCTACTAAGCTTATTGCAAGGTGTGACTTATATTATTATTATTATTATTGATATCACATTTGTATGTTTTTAATTGCTTCCGTCCCATTTCGCCTCACCAGAGAAATTCAAAGTTAGAATATATTGATTTTAAGATTGCACCATGATTGGATATACCCAAGATCTAGACGCATACTGTTGCATTCGTATATTCCTTATGGTAGTTGCGCTTATTTTGACGTTCTTCATGGATCATCAGCAGGTTTGGTGTACCTGCTAGCATAAAATTATGAAAAACAAGTTGCTTGTAATTTTGGTAAAGAAGAAACTATATTTGGGCATTTACCCCAATACTAAACTATAACACTATTGAGAATTTACCCGAATACTTTCTTTAATTAAGATCTTGTGAAAAATCTATGCTAATTTAAAGGGGCAGTGCAACGATGTTCAGGCTTTGGCCAATTAACTGCGGAAATTAATCTGCGTCACCTATAAAACGAAAAACCGAAAGCCGCATTTTCTTGCGAGCGCTAGTTCTTATTTAAAAAAATGAAACCCATCGAAGGACAAAGTGCATCTCAACTCTCCACGCTGACTTTCGAGTGACGTCTTTGGGGGTTCACGTGGTTTCCCCTTGGGCCCTCTCTTCAGAGACCTCAGCCACTTCCTCCGCGATTGTCGACTTTCAAAGGATTAGCCTCGTCGAAGGTCGCGGCGGGCGATGGACACAAAGGACGGTTCGCCACGGGGCTGACGGCGAGAGTAGCAGCGGAGGGGGACAGGGTTTGTTGACTTCCGCGTATCCCCCAGAGACGCCGTCATTTTAGTTCTTGTGGCCGCCACCGGTGGCTGCAGATCGGCAAATAATTCGTTTTTTGCCTAGCGATTACGCAGCAGAATAGCCGTTTTTGGGGGGAAGGTGACGCGTTTTTGGTCACTTGGGCTTGTATGAACAATATAAAACATGCAAACTGGCAATTCTTTCAACATTAAAACCGTTGCCCTGCCCCTTCAAAGGCATATTAAGGAAGGTTACTCTTGAATGTTTTCTAATATGTTTTGTAAAGTAATGACAACATATTGGCATTACTTTAGCAAAGTAACTGTAACTGCAACAAGTTACACTTTCATTTTTGTAACTGTAACTGTAGCATGATTACATTTCCCCCCCAGGTAACTGTAACTCTAACACTTACATTTTAGCAGTAACGTGCCCACGACTGGTGCGTGCTCACAGTCTGCACTTGTACGTATTTTGAGGTGCGTTTTTGACCTTGCATATTCTCTTGTTGGATGCAGCCACAAACAGTAAGGTCTCGTTGCTCAAGGGCAATTTTTGTGTGTGAGTGTCTGGCTCTTGGTACTTATTTTTTATGTTTACTTTTTCTTTGGCAATTTTTCATGCGGTTTCGTACACCGAAATGAAAACCCACTGGTTGTTTTTTGATGGTGAAAATTATCGCTATTAATTATACTGTGATGGAAGGAACGTAGTGAATGCTAAGGCACTGCTAGTCTTTGAATTGAAAAGCTTCTATAGTTTTTTTATCAGGAAAGTCTCAGTGGAGAAGGCATTTTCTTCCAAGCTATTTCCCGTTTTCTGGAGTCAGTCAATAGAATATCTCGATATTATTGGAGTTGTTGCTTCATTGATGTTCCGTAAACCAAGAAAGTTGAGTGAATTTATTCTTTGGATTTTTTTAATGACTGTTATAGAACTCTTTCGTTTACATTTGTCCCCAGCCACGTTCACACACTCAAATTTGGATTGGAACGAGTAAAAAAAAAATTTGGAACAGGTAAACGAATAGGACAATTCAAAACAAGAATGAGTGACAGTCGAAATTATAACACAAACACTTCCCAGTTGCATGGCGAGAGCAAAATGATGTTCTCCCCCATCCCAGAAGTTCCGCAATTCAAGACGCCTGCGTGGGAAAGGTCTATATCCCGACTACTAAGATCACTATGCTACTCTAAGCTTTGAGCGAGCTCTTGCATTAAGGTTGAACGCCAGTACAGACATCGAACCACGCAGCACTTCTTTCACTGACGTTGGCGACGGACGGCAAGCAGCGTGTCTTGTGCCATCTCCCCCTCTGCCGACCCTCCGCAGGTGGTTATTCTGGTGATCGACATCTTCCTGGTGCTGATCTGTGCCCTCGAGAACATCCAGTTTTGGCGACTGCAGACGATGCGCGAAGCGGCCACCGCGTCCTCGAGCTACCGCGAAGGCGACGACTTCTCCGAGACCTACAGCAACCCAAACTTCGACCGCGGGCCGCCAGCACCTTATCCGGCCCAGGTGCCTCAAGAGCGCCAGCCGGCTGGCAGCCAGCCGCCCTACGAGCCGCAGCCGACATACGACTCGCAGCCAACGTACAACCCCCAGCCGACGTACGGCGCGCAACGGGACGATGACGACGAAAACGGGTCGACAGCCATGCTGCCGCCGCCGCCGCCACCGCCCCCTCTGGAGGGTAACGGGACGGACGGCATTGTGAGTTCGGGGAGCCGTACGGTGATATCGGTGAACAATGGCGCCGACCTCACGTACCAGAACCCGACGTTTGAGGAGAGGTCGCCCACCCAGCGACGAAGGCCCAACGGAGAGCCACGCTACGGGAATGTGTAGTGGCGCGCCATGGACTGGAACTGGTGTCGGGGGCGGTTTTCGGGCTGTCGGTGCCATGAGGCGCGAGCCGGAGTCGCACCGCTAATACGTCGTACAAAAGACGAGGCGTTCACTGCAGACACAATGACACATTTATCCGCAAACACATGTCGAGCATGTTTGGAGCGCGTTTCCTTCGTACATTTAGATTCTTCAGACATAACTGCAGACGATTTTTGTATTGTCAATGTGACTGCACCGTCACACATGTAAGAGGCACGCCTCAGACATTGTCTGCAAACTTTTGTATGATGCATAAGCTGTGTTACCATGGCTTTACGGTGTGCTCATCACGCGGGACAACGTATTCATGCATTCGCCTACACGTAGCATGTGGTGCGGCGTTATGTCGGAAATGAGGAACACAAAAAAGAAAAGCGGGTAGGAGGGACTCGCGAAAAGGTGCCTCATCAGGAATTCCAGGATGGCAGGCGACGTAGCTCGTTAGGAGCACTTCTTTACCCCGTTTGAACTTACAGTGGAATTCGATGGGTGCTACGAGCTGTCGAAGCCGATCCCACGCTGTGCGAGTGTTGTGTGACCTTTAGGAGGGGAGCAGAGATCCGCAGGGTGCGCAGTCACGCGACACCTTCGTGGCGCCGGGTCGGCTAGGATGGCTAGTAGCGTTCGCTGCGGTTCATTGTATGGCGATGCGGAGTACAGAGAATGTGGGCTTTCATTTCGAGTTTTCCCGGGAGCTAGCCTTTCTCGCAGCAAGTTATAGGGAGGTGCCTTAGTCCAGCTTGGTCTGCCGTAATGAAAAGGACTGCTAGCCGTCTTCGATTTGGGCCAGGTCGGTAACGATTGAAGACTGTGAAAGTGGGCGGTCAGGAGTTGGTCAGTAGGCCATGCAGAGGTATTTAGGCTTACACCGACACTTCCAAAGCTGAGCGACTTTTTGACTTGGATGCCTCCCGAGATCTGGCAGGTTCGCCGAACATTGTTGCATGTCCCGTGATGAATGCCTCTAAAACTTCTATACCTCCTGAAGTTGGGCAGTGCAGACACATAGGTGTCCAAGTTGGAGAAGTTTAAATTTCAGAAGAAAAAAAAAATATAGGAGCCCAAAAAGAAGGAAAGAGTGACTTGGTGGTGGTCTCGGGCAGTGGGGTGTCTTTGCCTGGCTGCCTTTGAGGAAGAAGCACATCTAGTGAAACTCCTGGTTGAGGCAGTTTCAGCACTTCTCTTCCACACTATCAACCACTATACATTCTGCCCTCAAAAGGCTTTGCGTGACAGGCCATCATGGGCGCATCCTGCTGTCTGTACAAACATGAAGGTCAAGGATGGTTACAATCTCGTTGCCAGAGGTAGGTTTTGATAGCCGTGGGTGTTCACGCATGGAGGATGAAGATTATGCGACAATAAAAAGCCCAGAGGAAGGAAAGCTTAGGGCTTTACGACTGCAGGACGTGCAAAACAGTTTGACAGTCTTCGACTATCGTGCCCATACGGTCGGTGTGACACATGGCACTCGAAAGATGGTAAGGTAGCTGAAGCCGATAAGGCGGCCGAGGGCAAACTCTGAATGTTCCCAGAGTACCACATTTCATTTCTCTGGCCTTGACAGCAACGGACCTTCCTTGGTTGGCTCCTTACGTTAGCATTTACAGCTGCAATTTTGATATTGGCCGGGCATACTTGGCACAATTTGTTTTGGGACAGCCGATACGAACAACGGCTCCAATCATTTTGGGCAATAGCCCCTGACGAGCCTTGGCTGTTGGTTGCTCTGGCTGTTCCTGTAGCCTGGGTGCAATTTCACTGGCAAGAATTGGAATGGTGGCGCACGCAGGGGTGGCGCAAAATGGCTTCTGTTTGGGAAAAGAGTGGTGTGTCATACAAGCCATGTAACATTTCTCTTCGTAGATCATACATAACACTTTGAATACTTACGAAATGGACACAGGCTTACTGTGTTTGCCTGAACCTGATTTAGAGTCATCCAATGTATTTCGGGACCTCTGTATTTTTGTCCTCAGAGTCACCTTTTAAGCCCGGTAACGAAAAACATACAAAGTTGGGATGCCTGCACAGGCCTTTTATAGTTTTTCCTTTCTTCAAAATCTGTGATGTGTCTTGTATGTTGCTTGTAAAGGCATGTTGTGCCGTGCCTTAAAGGCTGGTTCGCACATCTTTGCTTGACTACAATCGACTGCCCCACAACCGATTTGCCTCTTGTAACTGTTTGCATCCGGCTGTGCAGTAGTGCATCCGATCATAAAGGCTCACAAGAGGCTTAAAAACCAGTTGTGGTGCAGTCAGTCATAGTCAAATGCAGGTGTGTGTAAACTATCCTCTAGTGTGCACAATGTTGTTGCACACTGTTGATAAAAGTGCAAGTCATGTCATCTGGTCGTAAAAAACCTGAGAAAACATTGTCTTTTCTGGCTGTGCCCTGCAGATGCACGTGCATCTGCAGGGCACAGCCAGAAAGGACATGTGTTTTTATTTGTACTTGCAGGTACAAATAAAACAAACAATGCCGAGTGATCGATGTATTACGTCAAGTTGGATGTGTCAAAATGCGTCTTTTTGGAGTACATTGTTTGCTAGAATGGCTCTTGCATCGATTTTATGTTTTCAAGTTGTCCCTGTGTTTTATATGAGGCTCGTTATTTCATGTTCCATTCACTTGCCCATCCTTCACCTCTTTCTAATATTATTGAAACACAGTCATGTGTCGTTAATGTGGATACCTCACTGTACAGACCAAATTTTTAGGGACAAACCAGGTAAATACATGTATTTTTGTGTCATTGTTATGGACGGCTCACATTATGGACAATATTTTGGAAGAATGGGGGTTTCCATATTAGCAAGACATGACCCTTTGATGCCTTATCAATGGTTCTTAGTCTTGTTCCTTTGGTAAGAATAGGGTCAATTCCCTGCTGTAATCTTTTATACTCGTGACATTCCCATTTTAATCGAGTAGGTCTTTGCTACTTCCACTGCCTTCCTTTTCGAGGTCTCCGACATGTTTTACGGCCACATTCAAAGTTTACAATGAGCCCAGATTTAGAATTTGTTTTTACATCAGTGTCTCGTCGTTTTTTATGATGCACTGTACAGAGTTTTTCTGATGATGTACAACACCGGTATAAGGCCATACGGGGTTTGGTTACCTCATATATTGTTTATATGGTTAAGTAATGTCATTGTCTTTGTGCTCGGATGTGCCAGCCAGATGTAGTTATTATTTACGAGTTGTGACTACTTTCTATTCAAGAGTTGCATGCAGGGCTAGTCAGCATGACGCGTTGTCTGAGCCAAACATGGTAATGCAACAGCTCTGCTGCTATATAAGGAAGAGAGCAGCTCAACGATATACGAGGTCACATGTACAGAAGACTGTCTATTCCGTATGTAATCTCGAAGTGTGAATGAAACCGGTGTATTTATATAGGTAGTATGGCATAAGATGTTCTTGACATTATTTTTTTTTTTTTGCAGCCGATTTACTTTGTTTTTTACATTGTTGTGCAGAGTGTTGTGGTTGTTTTCTGTTTGTACATGACTTGCTTCTCTTGAGTTTGGTTTTGACAAGTGAAATCTAGCATGATGATCGAATTTACTGTATTTGAATCAGCATTTGTCATGTCTGCGCACCTGTGCTCGTTTTCACAAATTTTGCCCGCCTCCTTTTTTTTCTATATGGTCTCCACTTTTTACCTTTTCCCGACATGGTGCCCCTCGCAGATTAGGGGAGGGCGGCACCAAGAGGATTACAGTGGTGTTATTGCTGTGCGATTTGCGCCAAAGCACTTACCCTGCTACATTTTGCCAAAATGGGAGGAATTTGCACCACCATTACGCGAAAACTTATTTTCGCTTTGTTAAGACAGGGAATATAATAAACCAGGACCCTACTACATGGCCAGATGGTTACTGTAGACTTGTGCGACTTTCCAAAACCCTCGGTTATCGCCTCAAATAACACCATATTCCACTTGATTTCTAATATCAAACATTTACAGTGTTCGGAAGTTTGGCAATATTTATCATGGCACCGTAGCAGCCGCCATTACTCCGTACCATTCCTGTGCCTGTACTTTCTGCAGCATACATTTTTTCACTATCGAATTTGTTCTTTTCGGCAAGGCTTGCCACGAAGAAGAAATTAGATGGTACAAAATATATGCTGCAGAAGGTACGGGCGCCTGAGCGTGGTCCGGAGCAATGGCGACTGGTGTGACGTCAATGCAGAGTGGTGCGCGTGAACGCGCACCACTCTGCATTAGTTTTATAAGAACTATACCTTGTGCAGGGTTCGAACTATGCCCAAAAGCTTACTTTTGCTTGACTTGGCAGCCGGTAAGATAGAAGTTCGTTTTTCATTAAACTTGCCGAGCCTTCCATCCCCTGTTAAAAGAGAAAGAGGGAGAGAGAAGACATCTTTAATAGTCCCGAGTATAGGGTGTCAAGGGAGCATCCACGATGAGGCCACTAAAAAAAAAATGCCTACCACCTTTTGGCAGCATGAAAGATTACAAAATTGATATATAAACCATTTTTAAAGGTATACACTAAAAACAGTTCCAGAATTGTTATAAACATTCTGTTCGCATTCGCTGGGGCTCGATAGGCCGTCCAGTGGGTTAATAACCCGGTATATTCAACTTCGTCAGTAAGTTATAACTTTGGTTGTCCTTTTTCGTACCAATTTCTGGCTCAACTATATTTGGTAAAAATGGTGTTCAAAGTTCACCTGTTAACATCTTCCTTCGTGCATTGTTTTCACTCTGGTGGGTTGTTTCATTTTAACGTGTCCTAAATAAAAATATATCCGATTGCTGTTTTTTAGCGCCTGACTTTTTTTACTGCAAATCGATTAACTCCCGATTTAAAGAGTAGTCTTTCGTGTAATTGTGACTTGTACTAGTTTATTTCTTAAGCAAGAATATTCTTTCTCTTTTTTTTTTAGTCCTGATGGTAGCATATCCTTGTAAAGTAACTTTGTGAAATATTTTACCCTCTACTTATGGGCCATGCCGACTGCGCGTTGCCGCAAAAATGTGTACCTTCACTTTTCCGCATTAAAAAGTTTTTTTTCTTTTTGTGTTATTTTAAGGAAATTATGTATTTCATTGAAATTTGAGCGAGTTGGTTCGGCATTATGAAATATTTCGCATCTCAGTCGCTTCCAGCCGCTTTAAAACGACCCCTCATGCAGCCAAAGTTTGGCAATCTCTGTAAAACACTTGAAAAAAAAAAAAGAAAGGACAAGTGTTTTTTACGACACCCTTTACCTTTTCCACTTTAGTGGAGCGAACTCTGGAGATAAGGAAATCACCAATCATGACGAGCAGAAGGTTTTGTGGAAGAGGTTTGTCATGCTCTTTTTCACTTGCGACAGTTCGCAACATCACCACGGGATGGCGCCACAGCCCCACTAGTGGTGAAAACTGGCTAGGGAACACCTGCGAGTGCCGACAGATGGGGGGCGGGGCGCGGGTGCGCCAGGCCGCATCGCATCCCACTATGAACAAATTCAGCTTCTCCGCTAGGTTTAGCTAGACAGCGGACGTCACGTGACCACAACACTAATTCAATTTCCCGCTAAAGTTAGCGGGGAAACTGAATTGGTAGAGGTCATGTGACGTCAGTTTTACCGCTAAATTTAGCGGGGAAACTGAATGCGCAGTGTTGCATTATGGGATATCACAGACCTAAACACCAGTTCAGTTTCTTCGCTAAATATGGAGCGAAATTGAGTTGGTGTATAGGCCTGTGATGCCCCATAATGCGACGCGCGCGGTTACCCCGACGCCGTTATACACGGAAATAGCCGCCTAAGAGCTGTGATCTAAAAGAGACATTACTCTTTGCCTAGAACTTGGTAAATACGCACTAACAGTATTCCTTAAATCCGGCAGTATTATCAGTATTCGAAATCTGTTTGGGAGGGGCAGGAATATCCGTTGAGTGCGCTTCTTAGCAAGCCCTGGTGCGCTGCGGTGAAGCAACTTCCGCGGAAGGGATTCCGCGTCCCTGCGCATCTCGCTTCGCTGCAGTGCAGCTGCGTGCTTGGGGGGAAAAAAAACCCTTCAGAGCGGGATGGTGCACGCTCGCGCGTTGGATAAGAACAAAATCGGAATAGGGTCAATGTCGGTATAACCATAGGCGCCGACTACGGGGGGGCCCCAGAAATTTCCTGGAAGAGGCAGAGCAACCCCCCCCCCCCCCCCCTCCCCCCACCAAGTCAGCGATTTGCAAAAGAAAACATGATTAGCTAAATAAATACCTAACATTTAATAATTTACTTTTAAGTTAGTGAAAATTAACGTATGGGTCCGATTAGAAACTTACTGAGCGTCATCGGAACCCTAACTCGGTCAATTTTGGGACGACTTGAAGCACCTTGGAAGCGTGGGGGCGGCGGCCCGGCGTTGTGCAGCAGGCGCACAACATGGCGCAAGGACGGCTGCAAAAAAACATGAATGATAATGATATCATCCGCGTCATCGCAGTGTTCTTTTCAGCGAAAAAAAATAAACTACGCATTTCCGAACGCACAATCTCCGCCCAAATCATAACGCTCCGGACCGGATCCCAAGGTTTCAGAACAAACAGACCTTATTCGAAATATTTTTTTTTTTTTTTTAACTTTTAGTGGGAAAATGTTGCCCGTTCTTGGAAGTTTGTGCCATTTCCAACGCCATGTACTGTTTGCGCCATTCAACCGACGGAGCGTATTCGTATACGCTCCGTCGGTCGCCATTTTCGGATTGAAAATTTTCAGAAATCGCTGATAAAATTTTAATAAGAAAGCTGTTTATCGGGAAGCTTTGATGAATTTAACAACTGTACTCTGCGCGACAGTGTTAACCCGAACACAAAATCAGCCTCCTCTTCAAATTTTACGTAATTTTTTTTTTTTTTTTTTTTACTGTTTAGGTTAGTGTTCTATGAGCACTTCAAATGTCTGCTTCCTGCGCAGGGGTTGCGGTGACGTCAGAACGCCGAGTTCTGATTGGTTCTGATTGGAAAAATTGTGGGTAGAGATCAAAGTCGGCTGCTTTGACGTCTACCCACAATCCTTCCAATCGAGTCAATCAGAGCTTGGGGTTCTGACGTCATCATAACTCCTTTCCACCGTTACTAGGTTACCTCAGTTGTGGAACTCCCGCGGAGGGGGGGTTCCCCCTCACTTGCTCCAATCCGCCTCCCGCCGTTTGAAGCACCATCTAGATTTTTGTTTCATAACTGTGTTCCATAGAGTTCGGTACGGAACGCCATCTAGACGCTGCTTCGAAGCGTACGTATTCCATAGAATACACTGCAGTTACCATAGCAACCGTCCGGCGCGTCGAACGACGGGGGGTGAGCCGTGGTGAGAGAAGGGGGGTACTGCTCGTGCAAGCAGTGTCTAAGAGCAGTTCCGTGACTGAGGTATTCTAATAACGTTGCCCCCTCCTCAAGAAGCAGACGAACTTGCGCTCCGTATAGTCACTGCATTAGAATGGCAATCTGGGCTAGTTGGTTCATGATAACTTTCAGGGCGCCGAAAATACACAAGGACAAGATACAAGAAAGGAGACGTGAACAAGGCGCACTCGCAACTAGCGTTTATGAAAAAACCACTCTCTTATATACTCATGGAAAGCAACACAGTCATACTACACAGTCATACTACACAGTCATACTACACAGTCATACTACACAGTCATACTACACAGTCATACTACACAGTCATACTACGTCCGGTGTAGCCCCCTTCGTAGAAAAGTGTGCTCTTTTGCCGATAGTGACACAGACGTGTCACTAATGCAGTCCTTGCCCTTTTCTTTTATTTCGAAGGCCTCGTGCAGCTCCCTCGATATCCGATCGGCGTATCTGGCCAAAAACCTCGTGTCACTAAATGACGGTGTGCAGGAGCAACGGCTGCAGTGCGTGGCGAGGTGTCCCGACGGGGTAGCCCGTGTAGCCGCAGCATGTTCGCGGGCGCGATCATTAAAGCATCTGCCCGTTTGGCCAATGTACGATGCTCCGCATGACATGGGGATTTCGTATATGACGCCCGTAGCACATTCCGTGTACCTGTTGCGGTGCTTCGTATTGCAAGGATCTGCTGACTCACGGGGATTGTTGATTCTGCGACACAGTCTCGATAGTTTGTTTGGTGCGGAGAACACAATAGGCACATCGTACCTATCAGCAACCTTTTTAAGATTGTGGGTTAGTGAGTGTACATAGGGGATTACCACCGGCCTCACTGCTGCTCTTTCACGGGGCTGCCTCCGTGTGCCTTTGAACTTTTTTATTAGGGTGTCCGCTACATCCACCAGAACTCTCTGCGGGTAGCCCGCTTTTTGCAACCTCGCTGCCTGTCTCGTGAAGCTCGCTTGAGCGGTGTGTGCACACGATCTTCTTAGTGACGCCTCGAGACAACTTTCTACGAACACTTTTCTACGAAGGGGGCTACACCGGACGTAGTATGACTGTGTAGTATGACTGTGTAGTATGACTGTGTAGTATGACTGTGTAGTATGACTGTGTAGTATGACTGTGTAGTATGACTGTGTAGTATGACTGTGTAGTATGACTGTGTTGTTTTCCATGAGTATATAAGAGAGTGGTTTTTTCATAAACGCTAGTTGCGAGTGCGCCTTGTTCACGTCTCCTTTCTTGTATCTTGTCCTTGTGTATTTTCGGCGCCCTGAAAGTTATATAGTCACTGTCAGGATGAGAATAGTAAGGCGTTGCTTATGACGTCACGTGTTTTGCTTCGGTAATTCTTCTTCGGTGCTTTTATCGGCGGATGCAGCAATGGCTGCGGAACGAGAACAAGATGCTCAGGACTGGCCACGCCTTGCGTTTCTTAAACTGTCAATCGACTAATAAAACGTTTGCACACATGGGCGTACGAACCCGGGGGGTGGGGGGGGAGGAGGGCAAAGGGAGCGCGTGCCCCCCCCCCCCCCCCCCCCGTTTTCAGGTGGGGGGGGGGGGCATGTGTTCCCCCCCCCCCCCCCCCCCATGAAACAGCCGCTACTGGGCAGGGTAAACACTGGCCGGCGGCACCCAAGAGATACCAAGGGCACCGCCCCCCGGCCCCGAGGGGGGTGGGGGGGGGGGGGGGCGGGGCGGGGGGGGGGGGTGAAGGAAGGGGTTGGGCGAGGTGTCTGGTTTGCTTTCTACTCAAAAACAAGTTGGTACGCCACTGTTTGCACCCTCAAGAGGGAGTCAGGCTTTTGCTGCATGCATGTCGGCTTTTCCCCTAGGTGGCGCTGAAAGGAAGCAATAATTAAAGTCCCTCCGGATGCACTGCTCCACCTGGTGGAGAATTCTGAGCTAGAATAGTATTGCGCGGCTTTTATCGTGGGAGTACCGCGATTGTGGAGATATATAGCATCCTAATAAAATGGCAAAAATAGACGAATAATTGGTGTACGTCAACTATTAAAGCTCGTTTGTCTTTGTGAGTCTAAGTATATATAATTCTTTTTGATATTCGTTTTGTCTCCACTGCGTGCTAACAAACGGGCGAACGAGCTCCACTTTAAACTTTAAAATAATAATAACTACGAGTTTAACGCGTAATGTAAGTAAAAAGGCGATGTTCATAAATATTTGATGCACCTTACCACACAATTCTGGAAATCTTAATCAGCCGTTATTCAGCGTTACATGGCTGTCCCGTCAAAGTTCGTGTTCGAGAAAACATCATTGTTATTGCCTCGACACGCATCGTCCATGTAACACTTATTTAGTGCCTGGCGGCTGTCAACAAGTGTTATAACCAGCGACTCCGACTCACAAAAAGTGCAGCATGATTTAGGTTCAATTTTGCACTGCCATCTTTCTGAGAGACGCTGTTTTAGTTTCCGATTCTCACGACGCGTGGCGTATCAACCTCGAGCAAGATAGAGTGCCTTCATAAGCACCCTAGAGCAAGATGAACGGAGAATTCGAAGCGCGCGACCACTATCTGAATCTCCTCTCCTGCGCATCTCTCCGGCCTCGTGCACCCGTCTGACCGTTTGCGTCTGGCCAAATACTTTACTAGGGGGAATACATTCGATTCCGCTCATTCGCATTAGACAGAACGCCTACAGCGCCGT